ATGCTGCATGGATTAGCCTGCGGTTGGACACCTTAGAACACCATTGCTTACCGGGCATCACAGGGCAAGCTTTCTGTTGACCTTGGACACCTCAGCACCACTTGGATGGCCATGGCATCTAAATTGAATTTGAGTTATCAAGCTTACACAGTTGTAAAGATTAGAAAAACCTCACTCAAACCATCAGCTACAAGGGAATCAGACAAACCTACGGGGTGTTCTGCGCGATTCGGTTTTTCATCCGATTGAAATCGATTGAAGAGAATTGCTCGGGGACATTATGTCGGTGCAGGAATCACATTCAAGGCCAAGTAACCGTTGCTTGATTTCTCAGTTCACGCAGATGTTGAGCTGGGCCATTGCAAGAAACACTCATTGGTGGCTTTGGGCGAGTGTCATAGCCATAGCTGTCATAGCTCTCGAAGAACCTAATGGAATCCCCAAGAATTGGTGGGTTCGATTGGCACGCCTTACAATTGGTAAGGCTGGCAGCCGTAATTTGGAGCCTCGAATCCGTCCCTTCCCTAATGGGAAGTTGAGAAGCTTCTAGCAGAGGCCACCGCACCCGCACTCGAGTGTCCTGAAGGGCTTTAAAGGCGAATCCTGGGTTGGCCGTGCAGCGGCCAGCGGCCAGGTCTTCGGCCAGCCATTTTTGCCACGGGGAGAGCGAGACAGTGAAAACAGCGGACATCAGGCATCATGGAGCATGTTGCATTCTACATCTATCCCAGACACGCATTCATGGAATGGATTCTTTATTCATAAAAATACCTACATTGACGCCTATAGATCCTACAACCACCGCCATGTATATATATATATATAGGTGTTATTAGGTATATAAAGTATATTATATGAGAGCTCGATTCGGAGAAACATGAGTTGACGCTGCCAGCTTTGGTGGGGAACTGTGGGGCAAAGGGCACGGTAGCCAAGTACTGAAACTGAGGCGAAGATGGTCAATGAATACTGATGATCGGTTTACCTTCTCCCATGATGATTCCCACCGACAAAAATCAAAGGTATCCAGCGAAGATTGGCGGTCCACCGAATTGCTCTTTGAGAAGCTGGGGTCGCCTTGTACCTGTTGCAGTTGCGCTCGACGTTTGCCATGTACCCGCAGCATCGCTCAATTTTTTTCCGTTGGAAAGCACCGGTGGGGTGGATGCTTCGATGGCCATGACCACCTTTGCACCCATCTCAGTGCAATCCATGCAGATGTACTTGCATGGCTTCAACTGTATTGTGGCAGACTGGTGCAGGCGTACACTTTGATCACTTTTGAGACTGTATTGGTGTCGTTCAACCCAATGACTGGTTTCGCATGTCGTGGCATGTCTTAGTGTTTGGATGTGTTTGGCTGGTGCATATGTAGCATGCTCCATGCAAGCATGATGCCGGGGGATACGTTCCACCACCCTTGGCGCTTCCGCACTTGTAGACACAACATTTCGCAGATGTTCACAGCCTTACTTGACAGCATGTCTCGGGGGACCTGTTTTGGCTGCCAGAGGTCCAGCTGCCCTGCTGAAATCGGCTGACATGGTAGTTATATTATGTAGCTGTAGGTGTTTCAAAAAGACACACGCCCAGTTATTGGGCACGAAGCAGAGTACAGGCAGGAAAAAGCTGCACGAGAGATTTTTGTTGCCACTGATTTGCGTTGCTTTTTTGGAACACGTTCGTTTGCTGTGTTGTGGAGTAGTTTTGTTTCCAGATGTTGGGGCTGGTCGTAAGGATTCCCTACAGTTTTTCTCCTAGCCATGAAGCATTCGCATGTTTTCATTGAAACCACTTCATTTGCATGTAGAAATGTCACACCACATGTAAATCTTGAGTGCACAACAAACATCCGCAAGATTCCGCAAGATATGCCGCTCAGATTCATCGGGCGGTGCGGTTGAGACCTGCGAGCTGCGACGGGGATGCCGTATGGTCAGCGATGATGCGATGTCAGCTGGCTGCCAGGGGGGGAATGTTGAGGAAGGTGGGACAGGCAAGTTCAACGAAAGTGTAGAGGGTATGTGTAATGCAGCAGTCTAGAGTAGGACGGAGTAATAACGTGGCGTATGTATTTTTACTTTTTTTTACATGCAACTATACATTATAAACAATAAATCTAAATACATAATATTTATTTCTTTATGCGATTACCATATATACATATACTTTATAAGCCAAGAGATGAAAGGAGGAGGACTTGAGCAGGATATGTTTGTGGATGTCTTACTTCAACTTCTATTATTCTATGTTCTATCTCTTGTAAAAAGGAGGCGGCTGTTGTGCTAGTCTGCTGCTCTACTGCATTTGCTCGACTCCAGTGAATGAAAAGACACCTGCCTTGGTTTAGTTATGTCTAGCTGTCTCCATATGGACCGGACTTGAATCACACAGAATCTCAGGAAATTGCCTGACAGCATGAGCATGCCTCACCAAACCACGAAACCGGAACGGGGTCAGTGCACACGTGAAAGTTTTGCCGTGGTGCTGTGTGGTGAGAGACTTGGGCAAACAAAGATTAATTATAGGGGCGCTCGGGTACCTACCTCAGCTTCAGCGATTTTGACGGCAAAAGATTCAACTGTGAAAATACGGAAAGCTTTGCAAAGGAAACCAAGTCCTCAGGATACTTTAATCTTAGGCAACACGGAAAACCATGAACAACAAGGACCATTCAAGGAATGCAAAGGGCAGTTTCAGAATATGTATCAGCCAGAGATGATATGATGTTGCGCTCACACTCTATTCATATCCTAGAACTGTGCGCAAAGAACAGACGACTTTACGGCACGATCGCAACGGTCGTTCACAAAAGTTGTATCATTCTTTGGAGTATACATATATGTATACATTATAGAACACATGAATTTAAGATGACTTATTCAACAAGATATTGACAGGTATGATTTCTGTTGGCCAGTGCAGGAATCGAGCGTTTTTTTCAGCGGATGCATTCTGAGGCCTCCTGTGCTTCCTCGGCACTTGTTTCGCGTTGGCGCAGAACTGCGCCTACGTCACGTGTCTGAAGCGGCCCCGGGTCGGGTCACGGAGCGGCCGTTCGTCCGCACAACATCTGGCGGATTGGGACGAGCGGATTGGGACGCCCCATCTATGTCTTCTTCTGTGTTCACTGTTCACTTGCCATTCACACGGTTGCTCTCAAGAGTTGTGTCACACGGCCGCGCGTCACACGGTCGGTTCGACTCGCCGGTACGTTCGTTTCGTTCGACGTCGCCAGGTACCCAGCGGCAACAGGTCGGGACAGAAGTCTCCGTCCTGTGAGAGCGAGGAGTCGGGCTTCTTGCTGCGTGTGCTTCCTCGGTCACAATGCAGCACAGCTGAAAAAGTTTTAAAAGAGTTGATTGGTGGCAGGTGCCTGGCAGGTGCTCAGATCTAAAGTTGTCAGTTCTTAGTCAATTTGCAGGAATTCATGTTCAAATGTTCTGCAATTCCGGATGGATAGGGGTGATTATATACCTCGTGCAAGCCTCAGAATAACAAGCTACAACACCTTAGACACGACAATAGTCTCAGCTACCGCTGCCGGCCTTATAACATCTTATAACAAGGCCGTGGCAACTCGCAACAGCATCTCCGTGACCCAAAAGGGAGTCACTAACACTTCTATAAATGCGCATAGGGACCTCCTCACTAACTGGTTTCAATCTATTTTGACTCTTTCTAGATCTCTCATACTAGTATTCGAACACGCATCTGAATCATTCCCCGAACACCTGCTGCAGCTACATGTTGGGGTTGAGCACAAAGCTTGGCCGTTCCATTGTTGAGTTGACTTTGTCCGTTGGAGGCCATCGCGGGTCGTAGGTTGGAGGCCATTGCTAAACTCAGAAGAAGATTGTTAGTGATAGTTTAAGCATGTTTAATCTATACTGTATTATAATTTACGCTCGGGTTGGAGGCTATATCAACAACTTGGCAAGCCGTGACATGTGACACCAACGAGCCAACGGCGGCCAATGGGCATCGTTACGGCAAAAATACACGTGCATCGTTTCGAGAAAGAGAACCAAAAGTTACGGTTTTGATGGGTTTTGGATTTGGGGTACTGTAAATTCCTCTTGAATACCCTACTTTTGTGTGTGATACTGTATTTGCTCGGTTGACCTGAACCTCGGCTACCACTTCCGAGCGCTTCACTCAGCTCCCAACTCCACCTTCACCGCAGTTGAGGTACGACAACAACGACTTCGACTAGAAGCTCCAGCACAACCTCCAGTTTCTCCACTAGCGTCTTGGTACCATGTTTGTAAAAAGATATATAGAAAGAACAACACTCCGCCTCCTCAGTCAGAAAAAAATCTCCGGTTTCGGTGGGATTTCTTTTGACATGCTGAGCAATGCCGAGTGGTAAGACAAGACTCTTCAGGAATCCGGAGCAGACTTTCGAGGGGAGGGATGCGAATGGGGGGCACCTGCGAGCCGACATTCAGGCTCTTCGATATCGACCACCAGGACACGGTTCGATTTGCTTGGGTTTTAGCACGCAGCGGTTCAATTGCACCTCCAACGTGTTTGTTTTGTTTTATTGCGTTTCGATCTTTTGGGGGAGCAGGGGATGCAGGACGGTCACTTCAAGTTCCAGCAGTTCATCATCAGAAACCATTAGCTCCACCACGACATCAAGCACTTCCAGCTCGTCAAGTACTAGTAGCTCAACAACGTTCTTAACCACAACGTCAAGATCCACAACCTCAACTCAAAGCTCCAGCAGGACATTTTCAACAACCAGTACCTCCAAGTCAACCACATCATCAACTCGAACTTCGATCAGTACATCTTCAACAAGTGCTAGCTCCAGCACTACGCCCTCGACTACCAGCAGTTCAACATCAACTAGCACCGCCAGCAGCACGTCAACAACTTCCTCAACAACATTCACAACCACCAGCTCCAGCACTACGTCATCAACCATCACCCATTCAACATCAACAAGCACCTCCAGTAGCACTTCAACAAGTTCCTCAGATACATCCACAACTACAAGCTCCAGCACTAC